GGTCATGCAGCATGAGTCTTAACGGGTCTTATTAATAAAAACAAACCCGGAGCAGGTACTGGGGTGAATGCTGGAAGATCAGAGAAGCAGAACAAGCCACAGCCACCTCACCTTGCCAATACCTCAGCTGATCCTGTTTCCTCAGACTGGAAGCCTCTGAGTCCTCATCCAGAATGGATCTCAGCTGAACGGCTGCTCAAAAGCCTAAAAGCTTAACCTGCCCTGGTTCCTGGTTTTCATGCCTTATATACCTTTCTGCTTTCTGCCATCACTTCCTGGGATTAAAGGTGTGTGAGTCACCATGCCTGGCTGCTTCCAGTGTGGCTTTGAACTCACAGAGATCCAGGTGGATCTCTGCCTCTGGAATGCTAGGATTAAAGGTGTGTGTGTCACTACTTTCTGGCCTCTATATCCAGTAGCTGTTCTGTTCTCTGACCCCAGATAAGTTTATTAGGGTGCACAATATTTTGGGGAACACAATACCACCACAGGAATATGCGTTATCTTTGTATCCAGGTGAGCCAATTGAATTTAGCACTAAGCACCAGAGTTTAGTGCATATATGTTAACTGATGAAGAGACTCAGTTTCCCCAACCTTTGGAGGAGCTACCCACTTGGCTACCCTTCCTTTTTCCTGCTGAAGTCATCAGGTAACCACACCTGCCACTTGGGGAAGCTGTTGAATTGAGGTGGGGGTGGAGAGTGGGTGGGTTGGCCTTCCTGTAGACAAGGGGCCTGGTCAACCCTCAGCAGCCAGAGAACAAAGCTGACACCCGGCCTTGAAGTTCTCACAGCTTCTAACAACTCCTAGACCTAGGACACTGGGAGGGAGGGGACCTCCAGGCAGCTCCAGGTGTTGGCTCATTTAGGAGACAGTATTGATTTTCAAATTATGATGCACAGCTCACAAGACACCAGAGGGAGGGGGGTGGAGGAGAAGCCAGCCGCTGATTCTGGGAATTTATTTTGAGGCACATTAATTTGTTTCTTCCTTTCAAGGTCAAATCAAGCCATCTCCATATATCACCATCAGCAACCACCCGCTGGCTAGAAGGCAGCTGGGAGGGTGGAGGTGCTCTGTAGTTCAGACTTCCTGGGAGCTGGGTTAGGGAAGAGGAAAGGAATGGGCTCTAGGCCTCCCTTGTCGACATCATCCGAGTGAAGGGTCGGTGTGCTGACTCATATTGATGGTCAACTGGACAGGGTCTGGAGTCACCTAGCAGGCAAGCCTCTGAGCACAGCTGTAAGGGATCTCTAACTAGATGAACGGAGGGAAGACCCACCCTAAAAGTGAGTGGCTCCATCCCATGGCCTAGAGCCCCATATAGAATAAGAGGAAGAAACCAAGCCAAGCGTAAGAATTCATTGCTGCCCGCTATCTGACCATGCGTGGACTGTGTGTGACCCCGCTGCCTCATGCTCGGCTCCTGCCTTCCCTGCCGCGATGAGCTGTACCCTCCTCAAACCGTGAGCCAAAATAAACTCTTCCTGCCCTCGAGATTCATTTTCGCTTCTGTGAATTTTGTGACAGCATCAAGAAAAGTAACTAGTCTAGTCAGGAGCCATCCTCCCCCGTCACTGAGCTCAACTCCCCTGGTTTTACACTATGGCTTGTGTCCTTGTGGCTCTCGAGTGAAATGGAGCCATATCTGAAGCTTGAGACTGTGACCTTTGCTTAGTTTGCAAGGATGATCCTTCTCGTCCCGTTCCTTCTTTCTGCCTCCCTCCCTGCATTTCTCCCTGCTTCCATCTCTCCCTCCTCCCATCCCTTCATCCATTTCTCCCTCTATCCATCTACCCTTTCATTCTGTCCATACCCATTCCTCCTTCATCCCTCCATTCCTTTCCCATCCATCCATTTCTCCATCTATCTGTCCTTTTACCACACATCGATCCTCCCCCCTTCATCCATCCATCTATCCATCCATCCCTCTATTTACCCATCCTCTTGTCCACCCCACCCTCCTCCATCCATCCACCTTTCCCTCTCTCCATCCATCTCTCCAGTCTTTCATCTCTCCAGTAAGTATTTGTCGTCTCTGACATACAGAACATTCTACTGAACGTTTTAGGTCACGCAAAAGACAACAAAACATATCGTTTGGGGCTGAATTTTATTTTATAGCTATGAAGGACCTGCTAGGGGAGCTGATCGTTTCATGCCCATGGATGTTGGCCACCCACGAAGCACGATTGTGGAAAGTGCTTTGGAGGAAGTCATGTATCGATGGGTCACACAGGCCTGTTGTGAGGCCCGCAGGACTTGGGCAAGTGGAAGTACAGATCCCCAGCTAGATGCCAGGGGAGATTCGGGCAGAGCATAAGGAAGGGGCAGCGAGGCCAAGAGCTGCGGGTAGAGTGTTCACAGCCAAACGAATGGCAAGTGCCAAGGTCCTGGGGTGAGCATGAGCGCAGTGTGTCTGAGGGGAGACAGGAGGTAACAGCAGAGGGGTGCGGGAAAGGAAGCAGATGGTGACGAGGGGCAGAGCACACGGGACGCTGGAGGCAGTAGAATGGAGTTCAGATTTTGTTTGGTCAGTCTGTTGGTCTGTCTGTGTGTTCAGCACTTGTGAGTCACTTCTACACTGCAGACAGTGTGGTAAGGGTTAGATTTAGTGGGGAAGCACCAAGACATGGGTCTGTCCATCTGTCCATCATGAGCCTCAGTCTGCTTTGTGGGTTGGCAGTTCAGGAATCTGGAGAATCCAAACTCCTGAAACATTTGGAGAAGAGTGACTTGACTTTCTGTGCAGTGCCCTCCATGGGATGCTCTTCTCTCTCAGCAAGTCCTTTCTTGTGGCCCCTTCTCACTTCAAGTCCCTTCCTGAAAGGAATTCTGTTTTCCTTGCTCTGTGTTGTCCTCGAACCCTATCCCACCCCTGCCCCCAAGCTTATGCATGTGAAGCACCCGTGCATACATGCGTAAGACATCCCTACAGGTGGGACAGACATGTGAGTTTTCTATCACAGTGCAAAGAATTCTAAATGCAACATTGGGCACCACGTTTTCAGTTTGCAGGTGTGCCCTGTGCCTAGCATGCCCCACTGGCCACCTCACACTGAAGTCCAACTACTCAGCATCTTTACTATGGTGCTCCCTCCAGTCCCTCTGGGAGGTCATTGCGGCCCTCCATGCACTTGACCTCATGGGGATCAACTTTCCATTCTACCCACTTAGCATCGTTCAGTAGCTAGGACCAGAAGTGAACTGACGGACCTGGAAATAAAGTCTTTGCTTTTCTCTTCTTCTCCCCTTAAAGAAGAAACCATAAGGCCGGGCGGTGGTGGCACACGCCTTTAATCCCAGCACTCGGGAGGCAGAGCCAGGTGGAGCCCTGTAAGTTCGAGGCCAGCCTGGGCTACCGAGTGAGTTCCAGGAAAAGGCGCAAAGCTACACAGAGAAACCCTGTCTCCAAAACAAACAAACAAATTTTAAAAAAAGAAGAAACCATAGCCAATTGAAACACTTAACTAATAATAATTATTATTAATGAGTATTATTAATACTTAATAATGTGTTTTATGCACATTAGATGCCTAAAAAAATTTGCTGAACAAATATCCAAAAAGTAGGAATTTCCCTCTAGTTGTGAATATTTCCCACTCTTCCTTGAAAGCGGGTCAGCTAGGATCATTTGGGTTTTGGTTGATGTCCCTATTATTTGTTTTGCCTTGTGAGCACCCAGCCTGACATAATAGGCTGTATTGTGTTAGGACAGGGGTAAGGGACAGAGGCTCTGGCCAACATGTGAGAGGCTCGGCTGAGATCCTAAAGAATTAACTGAAGAACAGGGTGGAAGAGTCCTCTCTGGAGGAGACAGAGCTGTCTGTGATCAAAGTCCTGGTGGCTTAAGGGGACAGTCTGTTCTGGAGAATGGAGAGAAGCTGGATGGTGGATGGGGCAGGAGAATGGGGAATCAGGTTATGGGGGAGAAAGGTGTGTGTGTGTGTGTGTGTGTGTGTGTGTGTGTGTGTGTGAGAGAGAGAGAGAGAGAGAGAGAGAGAGACAGAGGGGGGGTGGATGGATGGATAGATAGATAGATAGATAGATAGATAGATAGATAGATAGATAGATAGGGCAGTCCTGTGACGAACACTGGAGTTGGTCCTGTAAACAACTTATGGAGCAGGAACAGTGTGCCTTTCTTCTCGGCTCACGTGTTTTCTTCTGCTTCAGGCACCTCACACCACTCCCTGTTTGTTCAAGTCTTAGAATTGTGCCTGATCACCAACCCTGACGTGACTGACGCTCCTCTGGTCAGTCACACAAAGCCCCAGCTTGCAATGCCACCTCTCCTTTCCTAGCAACTGGGACGGACTCACCACAACGTAGATTTTGCTTTGCTGGGCAAATGGAGAATGCAGTGGCTGAGTGTGAAGGTCCCAGGCTGCCTGGGGCTATCGCTTACCGGGTGTGTGTTTTGGGCGGTGCATTTCCTCTTTCTGGGCCTCAGTTTCCCCATCTGTAAGGGGGGAGATAAGAGCCAAAGCAAATCTTTCCTTCCTTAAGTTGCTTGTCAGAATAATTTATCGCAGCAACCAGAAAAGTAACTATGACATCATCCCATTCTCTCAGGCCGGGAACAGGTCTCTGGACAGACATACGACACCAAAGAAGACATTCACTGGGCTTCCGGAAAATGAGAGGCCACACAAGGAAACCTCTCACCCCAGCCTTCTCCTCCCTACATTGTCACGGGAGGATGAGATACTTGTAATAGCTGCAGCCTTATTGGACATGAGGACAGACTATAACCGCGTAGAGCCATCACAACAGGCAGAGACGAAATATGGGAACCAGGGCTGAGGACCAACAGCTAGGCAAGCTCGTCTAAACTTCCCGTGGAGTTGGCTGAAAGCGTTCTGTCCATCTGTCCACCACTCATGCTGTCTACCCCACTCTTCGCTCAGGAGTCATTACCTGAAGCCCTAACACTCCTGATGATGTTTATCGCCCTGGTAGCGCGGCGAGTTTCTCATGAAATGAAGCACAATATGCTAAGAACATCAGCTCCTTTATTGGCATCATCGTTATTATTATTATTATTTACTGTTATTTTTCCCCCTAAACAACAGCACAATTCACACAACAAAGACACACACATTCCCCCCACATACACGATACCACTAGCCTGCATGCCAGGCTGTCTGGCCTTTGCTTGGTTCCTGATAGAGCTGCTTGGAGACAGCTCTCTGTAAAAATCTGACTTGGACACAGGGGACACAATAAAGGGGAACCTTAGCCAGAGAATCAACTGAGAGGTTCCCAGAGTCCTTGGCGGTGATCATTTGAGAGCCATGGGGTCATGCGGTATATATCTGGGTGAGGGGCAAAAAGGCACTGTTTTGTGTGGCTGATAAATCCCACACGGGGATATAAGACCTGCCTATGACTTCTCCTAGACAAGGAGTTTAGAAACACACTGAGGGGGAGCCAGAGGGCCCCATCAGCCAAGCCACACATTAGGAGAGGCCAGAGCAGGAATCTGGGTGATGGGAAGGTCCCCAGAGAAAAAGCAACCCTTGCGTGAGCTGCAAGGTAAAGATGTAACACGAAACGTCCAGTCCCCATTCACTAGTTTCACAACTATAGACCGTGCGGTGTCTTCAACCGGACAAGATGAAGGAAAATCCTCCCTACACCGTGACCTAACACAACCAAGCAAGGCTTCGCCCATTGTGTCATCCTGTGGAGAAATCTATTAACTACATTATCCAGGGACTCTGTGGTCCTTCTCTTCTCCCTCCCATCCCCCAACATCTGAGTTGCTTTAAATTTGAGTTCTGCTAAAGTAGTGTATGTACCCTCCAACCAGAGATTCCCTGGGACTGGGGACAGGAACGAAGAAGGACCAAGGCTGAAGTCTTAGGAACAGGTGACTTCTGGGTTGTCTTGGGGAAGCTCGTGGTTGAAGCTGCTCTCTCCAAAGGGTGAGTAAGGAGGGACTTGGGGAGCTTCGATGATGAGCAGGCCCTCTGGGGAAAGTGAAGCAAATACGGTCACTGGATCCACTTCTGCTGGAAGCCTAGGAGAGGGAAACACAAGATCTTACCCATTGGTTGTTTTTCATAGAGCTGAAACAATGAAACTATATTCACTGGAAAGAAAATATTCTTTTGCACAGGAGTGTGCGTGTGTGTGTGTTTGGTACATGTACATGTTTGCGCTGATGTGTGCATTGGAGCGCACATGCCTATGTGTGTGGAGGCCAGAGCTTGGTATCAGGCTTCTTCCCCCATTGCTTACCATCTTATTGTTTGAGGCAGGGTCTCTCGCTGAACCTGGAGTTCCTCCATTTGCTGAGGCTAACGAGCCTATAGTTTCAGGGACCCATGTGCCCCCATCTTTCCACCTCTGGTTACAGAGGTTTTATAAGGGTGTCCAGGTCTGAACTCAAGCTCCATGTTGTCATCTTTTAGAAGAGTCTAGTGCGGTGAATAACAGAAGTTCAAGCTTCTGTCTCAGAAGTCATGAGACTCGGGGGGGGGGGGGGAGTCAGACAGGCTCCATGACTCAGAGAGTGTAAAGGTGGGGGCTTCAGTTCTCAAATCTGATTCCGTTTCTCACAAGGATTTGGAAGGTGAAAGAGGACAGGGGCTCACACAGCCCAGACAGGCCCTATGGCCTTGAACTCCTGGATCTCCTGAGAACTGTTGACTGGAGGCATGTGTCACCATGCCCGGCTTTAAGGATTAAAACATTTTTTTTCCTTTGTTTTTGGAGTGAATGAAGCTACCCGGGATATGATTTCTTCAACCGACTTGAAACCAAACCGTGATGGCGTGTTAATGGTCTCACTGGGATGCCTTTAGTAGTAAGAATAAAAACAAAACAAAACCCACAACCTGCTGAGCGCTTTCAACGTTTCAGGTGTTATGTCTGACTTGCCTGTTCACATTCAGTTGCTAAGAATCCTGCCAAGAAGGTTCTACTACTGTCCCTGGTCACAGACAAGGATATTGAGACTCAGAGAAGTGAGCTGATTTGCCCAAGGGGGTCCAGTTCGCACCAGCAGATGGACTCAAAACTGCTATCTTGGGCTCCACACAGTGTGTTCTCCTGCCTTCCCAGCATCAACCATGTGAAGGAAAGGCAGAGAAGCCAGGAGCGTCCATCACCAGAGACCTTCCCCAAGGGCCAGACCAGCTCTGTCTATTGTACACGCAAGGAGTGGGCTGCTCAGCCCTGAATGTGATCAGGACTCTCCATGGGGGGCCCAGGAGTCATTTCCCATCATCAGAAGTTCAAAGACCCAGGAGCCACATCCACCCAAAGCCACCATGCCAAATCGGAACTATGCAGCTCAACAAAGACGCTGCTTAAGAGTTTGGAGGATCGCCAAGCCAAGCTTTGGGGAGAAGACAAAGCCTCGCTGTGGGCCTCCCGCCCACTGCCCCGCCCACGGCTAGGGATGGGCCAATTCTGTTTAACCATTTGCTGCGTGCCAGCCAGTGAGCACCTGGTACAGCCATAGTGTGGGCCTAGCAGGCAAGAAGACCTGTGTTCAAATCCCAAGCTTCTCAACCGTCAGAATGTGACTTCTGGGATTCTATTTCCTCGGAGGGAAAAGCATGTCGGAATAGTATCTGGCAGTCGGGTCACGGTGTGGGGAGCCTTGTAGTCACCGGCCTTGCATATTGGCCTCCTGACAGGTGTAGATATTTGAAGGCAAGGTGCACAGACATCAGAGCCCAAAGACCTTCCTGCTGGCCCAGAAGGATGACCTTGTACGTGGGGAAACTGAGGCCTACAGATGGGAGTGACTTGTTTGGGGTCTCTCAGCAGAGTCCTGAATTCCCAAGTCGGTGGGAAAAGGTTAAGGAGATCCCTTAGGCCCTCATTTGCATCTGAATGACAGTCCCTCGCTGAGGCTGAGTGTTAAATACCTCAACGCCTTTAGGGCCGGGCACTAACGACTTTTCCTTTCCCAATTAGAGCTGGCTTAAACTTTGGGCCCCAGGGCAAATGACCTTATCTAGTTAGAGGACCCAGGCTTAGCCTCTTGGGGTTTATTTCCCTCGTAGGTGCCTTCCTTAGGGATCACGTTAGGGGTGAGAATTTAACTTTATTAAAAGTGAGCTGATGTTAGAGGGAGGAAAAGCCTGAAACTGGTGATGGGGTAGAAATGGAAGTTTGTGAAGCTGAGGAACAGTGAGGACTGTGTGTGAATGCTGTAACCTGAGCTCTCTTAACCCAGCAGGAAGGCCAGGGGCTTTAAAGGTGGAGAGACCTGTGTTCAAAAGACCTCTTTTCTTCTAGAGACAGTTTTACTGGCTTATCAAATTCTGTGTGTGTGTGTGTGTGTGTGTGTGTGTGTGTGTGTTCATGTGGGTATGATCACATATGTGTGCACAAGCATGTGCAGATCAGGCATCAACCGTGGGTATTGTTCCTGAGGAGTTATCTAGCTTGTTTATCACGGTTATTATTACGATGATAATGATGATTATTGGTTGTTATTATTATTATTATTAACTATTATTATTAGTATTTGAGACCAGATCTATTATGGGGATTTGGGACTTCCTGATAGGCTAAGCTGGCTGGCTGGCAATCCCAGGGATCCTCTTGTCTCTGCCTCCCCAACCCTGGAATTACAAACTCAGGCCACCACACTGGGATGTTTCCCATGGGCTGTAGGGCTGGGGCACAGGTCCTCCTGTGTGGCAAGCACTATAGAGACTGAGCTAGCTCCCCAGCCCCCAACTCCCTGTTCCCTTTCATCTCCAACTCCTGAGAGCCACATTCTACTCTCTCCCTTAAAGAGCTTGGTTATTTTAGAGTCCACACAAAGCGACACCTGCAGCGTGATTCTTTCTGTGTCTTGTCTACGTCATGGGCCTTATGTTCCCCAGCTCCCAACGTGGTCAGACTTGTCCTTTCTTCTTAAAGGCTTTCTAATAATCCAGGTCTATTCTTTCCCAGCACTTCAATCCTCTCGCCCACCGCTCCGAACTTCAGTTTCCTCATGGACAAGGAGAGTTTAATCATCTTAATGGGATTCTTTGAATGGCTAAGTGGGGTTAAGCCTGTAGACCTCATAATATGGATGCTGGCATATCACAGATGTCAACAAAGGGCTGACCAAACACCTGGAAAGATGTGAGACAGGGAGAGCTGCCAAGGGTCCTCCATGCTGACTTCCTGCATCCTGTTTCCTGTTTTCTCCTCCAAGCTGGGGGCAGAAAAGGGCCTGCTTCTAACCTGTGAAGCACCTCCAAAACCTCTCTCTCTCTCTCTCTCTCTCTCTCTCTTTCTCTCTCTCCAAACAGACTTCTGGGATGTACTTCCAAGCCCACGGTGTTTGCTGTAGCGCTCTGCAGAGGTGGAATCCTCCAAGGACCCCAGGCTTGGCTAAAGAAAATTTTCTGTCCTCTAAAGACGGGGGCTTTCCTGGGAAAGGCAAACAGGTTCCCTGACGCTGGCCCAAGGGTTACCCCAGTCTCCCGCCTGAGTCCTTGATATTTCCATCTGCCAGAACCACTCTTGTGGGACCCTAACCTTGGGGAGCCTTCCTAATATTAATCCACACCACCCAACACTTCATCTTAATCCTCCCAACTCTACCACAGCCCTGAGTGGGAGGGAATATAACCTCAGAGCAGCCACCCAAGTGGCTCTAAGTGATACCTTAATTTTATCTTAATATGGGGGAGTCTCTATACCAGGGCCGGGAGTCAAAATACTCAACAAGTAAGTGGCACAGTTAGACATTGACCATTCACAGCGGATGGATGCACGCTGTGCTGACGGAGGAAGACCTTGGGGGACCCTCAGTGTTTGGAACGGAAGGAGGTTTGGGTGGTCCCGGGGATACAGAGTGAGGCTCAGTCTTGATTATCAACTTGTTTGGACCTCAGAGAGGGAGGCTGCAGAGTGGATTAAGTGGGGGAGGACCCTGATGTAGGTGGCACCATGCCATAGACAGGGGGAGTGGGGGGGAGGCAGAATAAGGATCAGAAAGGCAGACTGCCCCCAGAACGCAGGTGTTTTCTCTCTTCTTTCTCACTACTATGATGTGAGCTGCTCTCCTTCACCACACCACCCTCCCCACCACGATGGCCTGGAACAGTGAGCCTGATACAAATCCCCCCCACCTCCTGTTTTTCTCAGACATTTGCTACTAATGAAAAGCTAACTAACACAGGCGGTCAATGTGTCAACAACTCGCCCTTCAGCAGCTGAGAAGCTACACTATCTTCAGCAACTTCAGGCTTTTCTATCTCATCATCGAATTCCCAGAGCTGCTTCCTGAGTGGCCTCAGAGGTGGGGGAATCCATGGGAAACTGGCATGTTTATTTTGTTTGAGACGGGGGTCTCACGATGTAGCCTGGGTTGGCCTTTAACTTGTTACAAGATTCCTGTCTCAGCCTTCAGAGTTCCAGGATTATAATAAGTGTGAGTTATCATGCCCAGCTTTGGACAGCGTGTATGTGTGTGTTTGTGTGTGTGTGTGTGTGTGTGTGTGTGTGTGTGTGTGTGTGTGAATATGCTAATGTGTGTGTGGGGAGTGTACACTTGGCATGTGGAGGCCAGAACAGGACACTGGGTGTCTTCCTCCCTCACTCTCTGCCTTGATCCTTAACGCAGGGTCTCTCACAGGAAGCTGACCATTTCAGCTAGGCGGGCAGGCCAGTGACCAGTCAGGATCTGCCTTCCTCTGCCCCACAACGCCAGGGTTACAGGCACGTAGGACCATGGCCAGCTTTGTACATGGGTGCTGGAGATTCAAACTCACTCAGGTCCCCATGCTTACAGAGCCAAAGCCCTTACCCGGTGGGCCACTCCCCACCTCCCGGATGTTTTGAAAGGTGATTGATTCACCATGCTCCCTGCAGGAGCTTCTCAGCTCCTCCCTGTTTGTGATTCTGTCCTGAGCCAGGGTGTGAGCCTCTGGAAGGAGAGGCATCAGTGCCCTCCCTCCCTTCCTTCTCTCTCAGTTCTGTTTGATCTAGAGACTGGGCTGGGGAGAGAGGTGAAGGTCACAGATTCTGGCGAGCCAGCGAATGTAAAAAGAAACTGGTTGGTATTTGCCTTATCAGGAAGTTTCCAAGGGCTTCCGAGAACCCGTGGGGGTGCTGGGGCTGGGGTCAGGAAAGGGCACACGCATTCAGAGACTGGGATGTACACTCTCAATGCTGAAAATGAAATCTCAGGATTCAGCCAGTGCAGTCTCTCTACCACAGAACTTGTTTGCCAGGGCTAGTGTGGAGCTCAGACACAATCATGAGAATCATACCAACAGACTGCCTGGACCAGGCCCCCTAAGGACATCTGCCATTGCCTGCGAAGATACTGGAGCAGTATCTCTTTAGCAGAGGAAGATACAGTGTCAGAGACCTGTTTGGGGCAGTGCTAAATCCTTACTGTAGACCTTAGCTTGGCCCTTTCATCTATTGGAGATTTACTTCCTCCACAACACACAGAGGGTTTGCTATGCATCTTCTTCCTGTTGTCTACCTTCATGGCAGAGGTCAAGACAGCGATGGCTGTGAACGACCTCAGGACCAGAAATTCACCCAGTGAGTGATGCTGATTGGAGAGACAGTGCATGGCAGGCACCGGAGCCTCTAATGCAGCTAGCATCCCCCACTGAGCCTTCAGGGACTGCCAGCGAGGAGATGTGGCCATGTTTCATCGGTTCAGCTTGGCTGCCTGCTTACTGCTCTCATAAGACCACAGCTAACGAGAATCCCTCCCTTAAGTCAAACTTGTCCTTTCTCTAGGGTGGTGTCTCAAGCCTCCAAACCTCCATGGTGGGTGAGAAGGATCCCAGGAAACCAGACAACAGTTTGAACCAATATGTTGAGGCCACAGGTATTATCTTAGCTGTAGAGGAAGACACCTTATTGGAGGGGCCATGGAGATGGCTCAGTGTGCAAGACTACTCGATGTGTGCATGAAGATCTGAGTTCAAATTCCCAGCACCCATGATAAAACTAGGTGTGACAATGTACGCTTGTGACCCCAGAGCTATGGGAGAGAGAGGCAGGAGGATTGGTATGGGCTTTCTGGCTACCAGCCCAGCTCTAGGTTCAGTGAGAAACTCTGTCACAAGGGGAAAGGTGGAGAGTGATAGAGCAGGACATTGGACATCTACCTCTAGTCTCTATGTGAGCACAAGAGTCCATGCACGACACAACCAACATACACATTTGCATGCACACCACATACGTAGATTGCACATGCACGCGCATGAAAGCATGCACGCATGTACACACACACACACACACACACACACACACACACACACACACACGATTTTATTAGAGCAACTAGAGGCCAGGGTTGAGTGGGTCTTACTTTGATGGCGATTGATACCATCAATCCTGTCTATGCCTCCTGGGTGGGCGAGCATTCCAGTGCTCAGTGTAAGATGGACGAATCATTTTGCCTCTCTGTTCCTCCTCACAGGGCACTGAGCCGATGAGATGATACTCTAACCTCCCCTTCCCACTTGGTGGCCCCTATTAGAGGTTTATTATGACAACTTCTCCCCTTGAGGTCTGAGCGTTCAATTCCTTGCCTGGGTGTCTCTCGCAAGAAATCAGAATCCCAGGGTTGAGTTCCACGCTCAGTGCCTGCCTGAGGTGCCCCCTGCAAGGGTACTTACTGGATTTTCTTGGTGAAGTTCTTGGAGACAATACCACCTTCCTGCTGCTTCTCTTCATGTTTACCTGGAAGACAGGAGCGTCATCATGTATTAGAATTTGTATCCTTTGGGCATCATTCGGAATTTGGGCTTGAATTCAAATCCTGCTCTGCTCTTGCTTTCTTTGGTAGCTTAGGAGTGGTGTGGAGACGGGCTCTGTTTGGCCTACAGACTCAAGCCCACCTCCCAAGCTGGTGGAACATGAGCTAATACAATGTGCAGGGAAGAGGACATTGACATAATGACTGCATTAATAATACTTTGTACCATTAATCATTCATGTTTTGTTGACAACTGAGACCCCTGTTCCCTAGCTTCCAGCCTCCCACACAACTCCTACCCCGTAGCTGTCCAGCAGGTCCCAGGAGCTGGCATCACAGATCTATCAGTGAGGTAGAAAGAAGACACAAAGCCACATCTGGGGCTTCCTGGCCACCCAGCACCCTTCCCTGGCTCTTCGGATCAGCTTCTTTCTGCTGCTGTTGCTAAAGTGTCAACTAAGGTCACCCCAGAGTGGGTTCAAGGTCACCCAGAAGGTGCATGGCTGCCCTGGCACTCACGGAGTCAATGCCAAAGGCTGTGGCCTCCTGCCCCTCTGCCCTCGGATGTGCGGCAAGCTTCCTGCACCACCTATCCAGCCCGGAAATAATGCTTCCATCTGCTGGACACACCCAACCCCTCCTAAGGGACCTCTCCTTAGAGAAGAGCCACAGAAGCAGAGAGGGGAATTCTACCAGCCACGCCTCTCAGGGGCTCCTTCTTCCAATTATGGAAAGGAAGATGAAATTACAAGAAGGCTTCAGACCGAGCTGGCTCTTATCCTGCAATTCATATGGCAAATTGTGATCCTCTCAACGATCCTCCCCATTCTTCATCTTTTTTCTTTTTAAAGTAGGGTGTCTTAAATTTCTCTTTAAGCAAACAGGATTAGTGCTTGGCTGGGCCGGCTGTCAGCACCTGCCCTTTGCACGTTCCCACTCCTTTTTGAGGTCACATTCCAGAGCCCAGGCCCGCATTCACACTCAGAAGGCCTTCCTGAGGAATAGAGCTTCCGAATAGAGACTATAAATACCCAGGGGGACTACAGCATCTTGTGGAGGTCCAAATTGTCTTAAACTCATCATTTACAGGTGATTGCATTAGTAATACTTTGTACTACTAATCATTCATTTAATAACCTTTTCTGATTACAAGATAATGCATATGTATGTTAGGAAGCGTAGGAAATAACTTTACAAAAAAACACAATCACCCATCCTCCCCCCCACCCCCCACCCAAGCCATGAATAAAGTGTTTACATCTCCAGACATAGAAAATGCTTCTTAAAAACGTATGGATTTTCTAGAATACAGCCATACATCACACATCGTACCAAAGGGATCATTCTGTCCTCATCTGGCTGAGAAATTATGATTACTTTTCCATTTTCTCCAAATACTCTTCGACAGCATGGTTGTGTGTGTGTGTGTGTGTGTGTGTGTGTGTGTGTGTGTGTGTGTGTGTGTGTGTGTGGAGGGGAGGGGGAGGAGCACTGAGTGATGCTGAACGTCTTTCTCAAGCGCTTACCCACCTTACAATTTTATTGCCTTTTAAATTAACTTGTTAATTTTGTGTGCTTCATATGGATCGTGTGCCGTGGACATCAGAGGCCAGCTTGCAGGAATTGAACGTGGACGGTCAGGCTCGGAAGCAGGTGCCTTTTACCTGTTGAGCCATTTTGCGGGACCTCCACCCTAGAATTTGAGACAGGGCCTCTCCCGGAACCTGGAGCTCACCAAACGTTTTATGCTGGCTGGCCAGAAAGTGCCTGGAATCCTCCTGCCTCTGCCACCTTGTGCTCAGGCTGCTGTGCCCAGCTTTTATGTAGGTGCTGAGGGCTGGAACTCAGGACCTCCTGATTTTCAATGGCTGCCTCGTATCCCTCTGCAGAACTCCATAATGGCTTACTTAGCCAGCCTCTTATTTTTCAGCACAGACAACAATGGAAGCCTCCTCTCTGCACTAAAAATCCTTGCAACTTGATCTCCACACAAAACCCAGCAACTTCTGAGATTTGAGCCAAGCTTGAGACCTTCTAAGGCCTGACCTATATTGCTCCATGGCCCTTGGGAAAACCATACTATGTATCTTCCCACTACAGGGAGGAGAGGTATACTGACGGAATGCACTTTTAGATTGCAGTGTCTGGAGGCCAGAACTCTCTATTCTGCGAATGTGCTGTCAACCCAAGAGGTTATGCTGTTCAACTCGGTGACAATCATCTACTCTGCGCCAGCAATGAGCACTGTCTGTTCTCTGGTCCCCTCCCCGAGGCCTGGGCCTCGGAGAAGCCTGCTCCCACTGGGGACAGGCCAGGGCCTCTGACTCAGCTCTTCTGCACCCTGTCCTCCTTCTGCTGCAGGGCCTGGTCACTGCTGGAGGCGAGGAGGAAGATGATGAAGCGCTAGCAGCCAGCTCACACAGACATTGCTTAATGTAGCCTTTGAATCGACTCCTCCGCCGCTCTGTCCAACCTCATTGTGGCTTTGCATCTGCTCAGTGTGTGACAGGAGAGAGTCAGGTGCTTTAATAAAGTCAGGGTCCTGTGGGATAATTTTGCCTAACAGTAGGCCGGTTCCGGGGAGGGCAGGGCTCAGCTGTAATGCTTGGTAGTTCAGGCATATTGACTGCATGTTCCGCTTGGGATACTTTGGATTTATGATGGGGTCTCTGAGGCCCTCACCCCCACGGTAAGCCAAGGAGCCCCTGTGTGGTCTGGACTTGGTGTCGGCCACTGTTCTCAGCGACTTGCTTATGCCAACTCCTTTAAGCAGGGACTTTATTACCACCACTGTGTGGATAGAGAAACTGAAATTCAGAGAGGGTCGGTGAGTCTGTGGCTGCACCACCCTGAACACGCCTGATCAAGTGATGTGCCTGAGGCCAAACACCCTGGAAGTGATGGAGCAAAGGGTGGCAGAGTCCCGGGAGCGGGATGCCAATCCCTGCTCAGACATTTCCTGACACGGCTATACCCTTTTATTCTGTTTATTCTCCTCTAAAATGTTCTGAAAACTATGTTACTGGAGCCCCGGGAGAAGCAACAGAGTGAGCCACACAGCCCCTCCAGCAGTACAGGTGAACCTCGTCATTCACTTTGATGTTCAGGGAAATGGGGATCCTCAGAAGTCTATGAATGCTGCCCATGGTCTGAAAAGGGGTGCAGGCTAGGGGGAGGCAGAGAGGGAGGGTCTCTGAGCAGGAAAGATTCCAAGATTTCCATCACGAGGCCTGTGGTGGGGAACAAGTCTAAGGAGGCGGGTCATCCTGGCACTTCATTTGTATATCATTTGCATATGTGCATTGGTTATTGGGCATCTGATGTTATACCAGCAAGTCTTCGTTCATTATCTTGCTTTCTGATTTACATTTTATACCATCAAAATGTTTTTTATTTTTGTACATGGAAGGAAGAAATGATGATTGCTTGTACAGAAATCTTTGCCATCCCGGGACAGAAGAGATCTCATGCAGCTGCGATGTTTCTCAGGTACCCTAAAGAGCTGTGGCAGTACTGGTGAGGGTAGGGTGTGCAGCCAGACCCATCAAGGAAAGGTGCTGTTTCCAGGGAGAGCAGAGGCCCTGGGACCAAGACAAAAGCCTTTTCAGCCTGGCCCAGTAGCCCTTGAAGGGATCATTCTTGGCTGTTGCCTGCAGGTCAGGAGTGGGGGAAATTGAAGCATGATGGAAATCATGAACCCACATTTTCCAAACACTTCCCTGGAGCAGGGTATTCCTTTATGGTCAGATAAGATCCATCAACTGCATGGACCAGGGAAGGCTCTGAGAAGCCCTGCAGTGAGGAGGAGGCTTACTCATGATTTTGGCTCATCTGGCATCCTCTACAAAACTCAGAATAGCCTTTCATCCATTCCCCTGACACCCGGAAGCAGATGATGAGGCAAAATCTGACCTAGCTCCCTTCTTTGTGAGACAGCATTGAAGCTGAGCCCAGAGGTTGGGGGTGTTTAGATGTCTAAACAGGTTCACAGTCAGAACTAGAGTCAGCCAATGAACCTCTAGGCAGGCCTGGCTTGAAATGTTAGATACTGCCAGAGAGGAAGCAGGTGGTTGGTTGTGCTGGGTGAGTTAGCCTCCCTAGGCCTCAGTTTCACTATCTGTAAAATGGGCAAGGGTGGTATTACAAACCTACCCACACTCCTAAACAACAACAACAACAACAACAACAAAACATTGTGAGTAACCAACCAGTAAGCCAGCCTAGGTGGACATTGAGCAAAGGTCTAGCCTGAACTGCTTGTGGAAGAATAGGTTTTTATTGCATGATGTAGCTGGGGTACTGGCTCTGTTCCCTGGCTTCCCCTTTAGAAGTTGCTTTTACAGGGAGCCGCAGATCTTGGCTCTTAAACCCCTTTCAGGGAAGAAAGCTTTCACCTGCACCACTTGGTGGGTTTGGAGTCTGTATGGCTGGGGTCACAATTAGCTGCACACTTACAAGGTTTATATTTTTGTTTTAGTTCCAGAGTTCCCATTTCACAGACAGAGACGTTGAGGCTCCGTGATACACCCCAAGCCTCCAGATCACTAAGGTTCTAGCCTGAGATCTCAGCTTGTGGCTGTCAGACTCCACCTGTTAAGGAGTCGGTTAAGGAGTCGAGGGAGGGTAAAGAAAAGACTACAGGGTGTGGGCGATCTGGAAGCTTCTGCCTTGAACAACCGTAATTAAAACAGATCAAGGGTGGGGTGATGATGACCTCAGTCTGCAGGATGCGCTATTAACTCCATTTTACAGATGTTCTGGATAGATTGTCTGCATCGACTACATCTTCCCACTAGCCTTGTGTGACAAGAACGGCCATAATTCCCATTGCACAGACAGGGAAACCGAGGCTCCCAGTCGGTATCCATTCGGCTACCTCACGGTTGGGCTCGAATTTGAACCCGGGTCTCAAAGAGCATTTATGATTTATTACGTACTGGAATCTCCCCACGTGCCCACACCGTGGCCACCACTGCATTGCTGTTCACAAGAACAAACTAACTGTTAGTATCCCGGGCACCATCCATGCGGCGGCTGTACAAAGACTGCCCTGTTGTTAGAGGCTACCGCCACCCTTCCCGAGGACCCATAGGGACCTCGACAGACGCCCAGAAAAGAAACAAGATAGCTAAAAATGTAACTAACCCACCCTGTTGGTGAGGGAGCAGCATGGCTTGTGTTGGCTCACCAGCCGAGGCCGACAGCCCACACCCGCGTCAGCACGTGCGCCCCAGTGTGCCAGCCCCACCACACCCACAGCCACAGCCTTTGATGTTTGCGGGTTCTACTCCAAGGGGCTTTAAAACCCTCCCCTGGAACCCTGCTGGGACTTGTCCCTCCTCAGCTAGTCCTCGCGCAGCAGCGGGGATGCTATTGATTTCCTGGCTGACAGGCCCCTGCCAGGAACAAGCTCTTTTTAATGGCCTGTTAATTGGGAGGGAGGCAGGAGAAAAGCCGAGACCCAGCTTCCTGTCTCCTCTGTCTTTTCCCCCCTCACGGCGTATTCTTTCTCCCAGAGTGCAATGGGGTAGGGAAAGCCCTGGGCCTGGTGCTGTGGCCAGGCCTAAGCTCTGCTCTGGTCCTTTTGCTGACTCATTGTACGACCTGGGGCAAGGCCTCCCTCCACTGCAAGATGGGAGTAGAGAGTCATGGGAGGAAGGGTCAGAGGAAAGTGGATTTTTAAAGTGGTTTTCGTTGGTGGTGGTGGTGGTGGTGGGGTTATTTTGTTTATGTGTGTGTGTGTGTGTTTCTGATTCGAATAAATACATACATACATACATACATACATACATACATACATAAATAAAATTCCCTTCCATCTCTAATTCCCAAGACAGCCTGGGTTGGAACCCTTTGCCGCCTTGAGCAAATTATGCCAACCTCTCTGTGCCTCCATTTCCCCAGTCTAAAAGGGACGGGTGGATACGAGCCGCCTCCTCCTCAGACTGTCCTCACATCCTCACATCGGCGCTACCTGATGCTGGCCTCCCAGTTTACGGTGCCTGGCAGACTGCTCTTCGCCGAGGACAGCAGCTCTGTTGTTCTCCTTACTATCCAGCCTCAGTTTCCCTGCCTGTCACTAACATGACGACTCAGCATTCACCCTGACCCACTCCGCTGGGTTGTGGATTTGTGTGGGGTAGGTATAGTAACCCCCTCTTCCTGGGTCTTCAGAAATCCTCCACGCATCCAATCTATTCTTTATATTAAAATTGCCCATTTCACAAGATCCAGTCTGATCTCTGCCAGTTCTCAGGTGGACACGGTGCCCTGAGGACCCCCAGCTACTGGGTCACATTCAGACTCTGTCTGTCACCCACGGAGAAGCACTTGTCCCTAAAGATAACATTGTGGGCTGCATTCCTGAGACCTGAGGTCACCTGGGCCATGTCATCTGTCACAGGTCCCTTCTACTGAAGTTGTTTGGGCTGAACCTGCACACACACACACACACACACACACACACACACACACACAGAGAGAGAGAGAGAGAGAGACAGACCCTGGCCTGTCTGCTCCTCACTTACCTGACACCTCCACGTATCCATCCTTGGTCTTGACCATCAGCTCTTCCGGCTTGAAGCTGTGCACATTGACACACACTTTCCAGGGCTCCCCAGGAAAGGGTGGGGGGCTCCTGCCCTCAGCAGGCACTCCAAACCTGGCTGTGGCTGTAGGCCCCCGGGGCACCATGCCGGACCTTAGGGTTCCAGGCCAGGCGGAGAGCCGAGGCATCGCCCACTCAGGCCAAGGGGCTGTCAAGTCGTCTGGGAAGGGGTCCATGCCAAAGCCATCGTCCAGCAGGCGGGAAGAGAGCGGTGAGTCCCGGAAGGGGTCTCTGCGCAAGCGGCTTGGGTAGGAGCACGGGAAAGGCAGTTGCCCATCAGCCATGGTGTCTGCTGAGCTCAAAGGGGAAACAGAGGCTCAGAGAGACGGAGCCACCTACCCAAGGTCACACAGCAAGGTGATGTGGCTTGAGATGGTTTTCAGAGTTTAGTCCTCCACTTCAGAAAATGCTGATCTTCTGTTAGCCACAAGCCCAACCATCCGCTGCCCAGAATGGAGCTGGGGTCCTGGCTCACAAACGTGACTCACCGAGCAGGCCCAGCAGAACCCCAGAGGGCCTCTGTCTGTCCCACCTCACCAGGCTTAGCAGCAAGTCACCAGCCTCCCAGGCTGCCCAGGCTCCCAGCCAAAGCCCGCTGAGGTCTTGAGCACAGCCAAGAGTTTAATAAACCTCGGGGACGCGCGCCTAGAAACTTCTCCTGGCTTCTGGGCTGGGAGCCTTGTATTTATTTGCTGCTGGGGGCTGAGGGGCGGGTTTTGCAGGCGCCTCCTGTCACAGGAGTATTCAAAGGTGATGAACCAGCCCCTGAGAATCCGCTGAGAGAAGAACTGGGCTCCGGGAGGGGGGTGGGGAGCTGGGAGGGGCCGTGGCATCCGAGTCCAGCCAGCCTCTCCAGCACTCTCTCCTCCCCGCGCTCAGCTCCGCCCTCCCTCTGCCTCCAACAGCATCCACTCCAGGCACTAGTGTCCCGCAGGGCACTAAAGCCAGACTATTAATAACCCTCCGCCTGGCTGAGTGCTCAGGTCACACTCTGGAAATACCATGCCCAGAACATGTTCTATCTTGCCTCCCACCCTGGGGACCCACAGAAGAAGAGAGACCCATTGGATTGAAGACTAGATGGAATCCCCGTTTACAGTATGGCCAAAGGCGCCTCAGACTTCTGGGAATGACTAACAACAACAACAACAACAACAACAACAACAACATATCATGATTTTTTTTTTCAATGACACTTGTTAAGTTATGAAAAGAACACACATTGTCAGGCAGAGTGTCTGTTGGGATAGATAGGAAGGTCCTGGAGCAAGAGAAGCAACTGGGCTCAACTCCCAACACTGCCTGGAGGCAGAGTTGGGGTCAACAGATGGGAAATGACTAAGGGGACTCCAGGGGTCTGAGGGAATCCTGGATAAACTGACCTGACCGGATTCCTCTGAGGATAGACTGGGGTGGCCAGGACCTCCTTTGAAAACTAGTTAGAGGGGATGGGAGTGGAGGGATGGTTATATAGGGCACCATGGGGGTTGCAGCTGAACTGGCTTGTTCTTGTTAAAACTGGGTGAAGACAATGCCAATGCGTGCCCCGCCCTGCAAGGAGCCCGGCTGAAGTCTGGTCAAGGGAAGAGTCCCTATCGGTGGTAACATTACTCCCAGGCATGCCTCAGCTGCCTGTTCCCCACCTGTGAAATGGGCAAGAGAGGAGGAGCCTACTTGGGGCGTGTGTCATCAGGAATGCGTGAGGTCATGGACTGCATCGCAGAGGGAGCTGTGCTTTGAGGACTTCAACTTTCAACTTATCAGTTGCATAATATTTGCGCTTAAGTGCTCCGCAAACATTAGCCGGTGAAGCCTCCCCCACCCCGCCAACACACTCACTGCTGAGGGCCTTGTTTGGCAGTACAGCAAACCATCCTAAGTCATCAGATCCCTTTTTTTTTTTAATTGTATTGATCGGTGGTTGTGGTACTGGAGGCAGAACACAGCCTTCTACAGGGTGGAAGGCATGCATCTCACCACTCAGCTGCACCCCTAGTCCGCCCCCCCCCCCCGTCTTTCTATAAACTCACTGTATTGTGGTAGGTTCACAAGTGAAAACATCACACCCGCTGGTTTAAGCTAGACGCTCACACACCCGCTCAGTCCCAAATGCTCCCCCGTCTCAGCAAACCTCTGCACAGAACCGTGGTGCCCAAGCCATGGAACCGGGCTTTGGGTTTTACGCTCTCACTGTCCACTGCATCTTTATCCACGTATCTACCACAAAATAATGGGACAAACTAGGGTTGATGTGAGGGGGGGAAAATGCTTTCTAAAGACTCTTTCATGGCTCCTGTGTCCTTTCCTGTGTTCCAACATTCTCCATTACCAAATACGATCCTCTGTTGGTGTCCTTTCTAAAGGTCACTATGTTGCCCTGCTATGCTATTCCTTGTATGGGGATTCTAATCTGTAATATATATATATATATATATATATATATATATATATATATATATATATATATATATATTACATTATATAACATACATCTATGTATTTGTATATGTTTGTATGTCTGCATGTAAGCAGGTAGAGAAACCCTTTTATTTTTTGTTCTTTTTTTTTCAAATAGCATCTCATTACTCTACCTAGGCTGGTCTTGAACTTGTGAACTTCAAGTTTCAGTCTCCTGAGCAGCTTGGACTACAGACCAGCACCCCCAGACTGGGTTTATATTTTTATTCTGAGTAATAGCAGTAGCTACTGAGATGTACTAGTCTCCAGATGGGATATTAGCTCTGAAACCCCCAAATCCAGGGAGAACCATTTCTAGAAGCCCCTTTTCCTCCAGACTGCTGGGAGAATGAATTTACAAACCGTCTTTTAGCCTACAGGTGCCTCGGGTTTGGGGTTCCAGTCTTTGCGCTGTCCTCAACAGGTGGGCAGCTTGGAACGTGTCATCTGCCCTGTGTGAGCCTGGGGCTCCCAAGCTCTGCTTTCTTTATGGGGTGGGGGTGTGTCGGGGAGTCTGAGTCACAGGTTGAGAAGTCATTTTGATAGGAAACTGTTCTCGTATGAGGCAGTTTACTCAAAATAATAATACAGAAAAGAATGACTCCTGTGTGTCTTTCACTATCATGAACCCCCGCAGGCTCGGCAGGAAATGTTCACAACACTGTCTTTATTATCATCACCCCATTTTTCAGATGGGGATGTTTTCGTGGAGAAACTGGAAGGTGGAGAGCCAGCCCTTGCACACAGATGTGGAAAGGCAGGAGCCCTGGTGGGAAAGCTAATTGTTTTGAATCTTGGATCTGGACTGAGTGGGTGGACTGAGGACCCCCCCCCATCCCCAGCTTTTGCTCCAGTGGGGAGAGGGTCCCCCTGTCTCAGCATGATGTGTTCCCCTGTTACTGAGCGGCCTTGATTCGATGTGGGATGAGCTCATGGTGCCAGAAGCCTTAAGCTGACGTCATGGCTGGGCACAGACTGCAGCTGGGAGGGGTCGGGTGAGCCTGCAGCTAATTATGTGGAGAGTCACCCTGTATGATGAACAGGGAGAAATCTGGCCCTGCCTGGGAGCAGGCAGGGGCCCGGGGTGGGGCTCCTGAGTGGGAGGGATGAGGTGGGGGCGGGACGGGGCTGTCTCTGGCTGAGTGTGTGTGGATTTGGGTGGGTGTTGTGTGTGTTTACGTGCTGCTGGGCTGCATTGATTTATGGGTGTGTTTGGAGGACATGTTCTAAAAGGCTTTCTTCCCTCCCAGGCCTGTTTGCACAACTTCACTGAAAACTTCTAGAATACCCAGGAAGGGGAAACCTTGACAGCAGCGGACTGAGCCTCCAACGTGGCCTGTGCCTCTCTGTCTGTCTCTCCCCCAGCTTCTCCCCCAACCCCATCTCATGTAGCCCAGGCAAACCTTGAACTCCTTATGTAGCAGATGGTGACCTTGAACTCCTGACCCCTCTTACTTCAACCTCTTTAAGTGCTGGGATGACAGGGATCTGGAAAAGGAACCCAAGGCTTGGTGTGTGCTAGGCCAGCATTTTACCACCGGAATCCCAGCCTCGGCCCCTCTATTCTTTGTGGTTAGAAGACAGTCATGGCAATGGTTAGCATTCACGGGGCCCTTGCCAGGTGCCACATTCTGCCCTTGGCACTTTGAACTTACCTTTCCACTCATCCAATCCCCAGCAGTTTGTGGTGAGGAAGGGACTTTTAGTGTCTTCGTTTTGTAGATGGAAAACTGAGGCGCAGACTTGTCTCACGGTGTGCCTCCTTAAGTGACAGAGCTTGGATTCCAACCGGGGCCTTTGGCTCTGACTCTCTGAGATCAGATTTGTGGCTTATGTTTACACAGCACTGACCGTATGCCAGGCCCTCGTTCAGCAGGGTTTTTGTTTGTCTGTAACGGGTCCAAGTCTTTCTATGTGGTTCAGATTGACCTGCAATGTGATATCTTCCTGCCTTAGCCTTCTGAGTACTGGGGTTATAGCTCTATGTCACCATGCCCAGCTCCATCATTTTTATTCATCATCTCACAGTCTTCATAGTCCAGAGAGGTCAAGCCATCTTCCCCAGGTCACACAGCCAGTGGGATGAGGAGCTCTTATAATAACCACATAGGAATGATATCACCCAGGCCTTGCCCTGTGGTCCTCTGTACCATCTGGCATCGTTTTTTTTGGGCTCTTGCTGCATCCCTGGGTCAGGCCAGCTTCCTGCTGGGGGGAAACTGAGAAGGGAGACAGCTACTAAGCCTGCTGACTGAGTCACCTGTTGAGACGTAAGATGACATGTGGGGACAGTGATCAGTAAACACCACAGGCCATCGTCAACCAGCTGAAAACAGGGGTCAGACTCCCCCAAGTCTGGGGAGAAGCTTCGGAGAAAGATGAAGCCCTCCGCAGGTTCTTCCAGAGAAGGAGAGACTGTGTGTGTGTGTGTGTGTGTGTGTGTGTGTGTGTGTGTGTGTGTGTGTGTGTATGTGTGATTATGTGTGTGTTTGTGTGTGTTTATGTGTGTGTATGTGAATATGTGTGTGAGCGTGTATTTGTGAGTATGCGTGTATGAGTGTGTGTGCATGCGAGAGTGTGTGTTTGCATGTGTATGAGAGTGTGTGTGAATATGTGTGTGAGAGTGTGTTATGTGTGTGTATGTGAATGTGTGTGAGAGTGTGTGTATGAGTATGTGTGTGAGTGTGTGTTTTTATGTGTATGTGAGTGTGTGTTTACATGTGTGTGAGAGTGTGTGTGAGCGTGTGTGTATGTATGTGTGTGTGTGAGTATGTATGCATATGTGAGTGTGTGAGAGTATGTTAGGATGTTAGACCCAGAGCAAATATTGTCTCACCTGCCTGTAAAACTTTCACATGGGAAATACCACAATTAATCTTCAAAAGAGACGATCAAGGGGGAAGGTGACCTCATCCTGCATTCCAGAAGCTGGGACCTCCTGGAGGAAGAAACAGTGCTTGGAGTCTCAGGGGTGTGGGCAGGACAAAGAAAGCTGCCAAGTGTTTCCCTTGTGCTGCAAGAAGACATGGACTCTCCCTCTTCCCAGACACCTAAGCCCCACCTCTTCCGTCCTCCCACCCTTTAACCTCATTATCATCATCACAGACTGAGGGAGGGTCTCTCAAAGGCTCAGGTTTCTAGCGGGAGTGTTGCGCTCTGCTCTGTCACAACCCCAGAGGCTCAGAACTTTCTTTGGGGAAGCTTGGATGGCTCCTGGGGTTCTCCTAACATCACTAAGACCTGTATCCCTGCCTTCTATCCCTTCACTTTCTCAGACCCTTTACAGATGACAGTAACGGAGTCTACAGCGCACTGCACCTCACGTTAGCTG